TCTCTGCAGCCTCACTCTATAGTTCAATCATCTCTTGTTTGTCTTCCAACATTTACCATTTCCCTACAGTGAACACATGCAAAATATTTTCTTTTGGATTTCTAAGAAATAGAATATACATGATCTGCAGCAGTTTTGTCCAACTCATACCCTGCCTTTTGCCCTTTTAAAAAAATTATACTAAAAATATTAAGAAGTTTCATCTCTCATATATAATAATCATTGTGTGCTTTTTGTGAAGGCCAGCGTAATTCATTCAGTGACCCTGGGAAGCCAAAAGTTTAGATTCCATGGTGGAATCTCCTTACTGCACAGTAGTGAACTAGAACTTCTTGTTCTTGCTTAACTGTAACTTGGTATACACTGATTGATCTTGCTCCTATCCTCTTTCCTCTCACTTCACTTGGCCTTTTGTAACTACCATTTTACTATCAACTTGGAAGATCAACATTTTTTTTTTTAGAAAGGGGCTTTCTACATAGCCCAGGTTGGCTCTAACTTGTGACCTTCCTGCCCGAGTCTCCTTAGGGCTAGAATTACAGGTGATCATTTTTCTATGTTTTATATATGTGGGAGATTATTCAGCACTTGTCTTTCCATGACTGGCTTTTTTTTTTTATTCAATACAAGGATCTCCAGTTCCATCTATCTTGTCTCAAATGACAGGATTTCATTTTATTTTTATGGCTGAATAGCGGTCCGTTGTATATGTGCTAGCCTTCTATATCCACCCTTCAGTTGGCAGATCCTTAGCCTGCTTGTCTTTCTTGGCTGTGGTGCATAGTGTTGCAGCAAACAGGGGAGTGCTGATGTTTCTTTGTTCTACAGATTTCCAGCCCTTTGGCTGTGTACCAAGTGGTGAAATGGCTAGATGATATGATATTCCTGTTATTAATTTTTTGAAGACTCCCTATATTCTTTACCGAAGTGAAGTGTAATAATTTACAAACCATCAACAGTGTGCAAGAGGTTCCTTTCTTCCGCGTTCACAGAAATACTTTGCATTGCACAGGTCGGCCTTGAGTTTACGGTCTTCCTACATCAGCCTTTTGAGTAGCAGGGATTACTGGCATGTGTCGTTTATGCATTATGTGTTGCCCGCTTTTTAATTGGGTTATTTAATTTTTATTGGATTTTTGAAAGTCCATATATATCCTGGACATTAACCCCTTAGCATATGGATAGTTTGTAAATATTTTCTTCCATTCTGTAGGTTGTCTTTTTTCTCTGAGGCCTGTTGGTTTTACTGTTCAGGAACTTTTCAGTCAGATGTAGCTCCCTTTGTCTAGGCTTGGTATTTTTTTCCTGTGCTTTTGGAGTTGTGGCTGAATAATCTTTGACCGTTCTCAATCTTTTCCACATTCTCATCTAATAATTTGTTTCAGGGCCTCTACATAAGTATTTTATCCATTTTCAGTTGATTTGTGATACTGGGTAGGGTTTATGGTGCTAGCTTTATTCTTCTGCTATTTAGATGTAGGATGTCACTGGTATTTTGATAGGAATTGCATTAAATCTATAGATTTCATTGGGCAGCATGGACATTTTGATAACTTTGATTAATCTAATCCACAAATACAGGTTGTAGTTTACTTTTTTGTGTCCTCTTTATTTTTCTGTCAAGTTTTTCTATTAAAATTTTCTAGTTCTTTGTGATGCAGGCCGCACATATCCAAAAATGTCATTCATTTCTTCTAGATTGGGAAGCTTGCTCTATGATTTGATACTATGTTTGAGATAATTTCTTTTCTTTCTTTCTTTCTTTCTTTCTTTCTTTCTTTCTTTCTTTCTTTCTTTCTTTCTTTCTTTCTTCTTTCTTTCTTT